CCCTGTACTGCCCTTTGTACATCCTTTTGTCGGTGTCAGACAAGAGGATGAGTCACATCCATTGCTTGACCAATTTGCTCTCTGTGAAAGCTTGAGAAAATGTTTTTTCTCTCCATGTGACTCTCCCCAGGCCCACTTCAGATCATCGAACACATTCCTCTGTGGCTCCATAATCTTCTTGATCAGAAAATTTGGAGCACAACTGAGTTCCTTGTCTGATTTCTATATGGCAGATTTCTTTTTTTCATTTCTAGTCCACTTAAGAAAAGTTTATTAAGAAGTTCTAGATGTTTTTCATATTTTTATAGCCTATGCAAACAGAGACAATTTGGTACATTTCTGGGTTATAACATTTTCTGGTAGAACCTTGGCACATATTTTCTTTTTCTGGCACTCAGTGTGTAGATGAAAAGATTATCTGTGTGGTAGACATTTGTTCCTTTTAGAACCTGTTCTCCCTGTTCATAAAAGCTTATAGAATTTTTAAAGGTATGTTTAGAGGCAATGTAAAGAACAACAGTTGACACATGTGGGTCCCCCTGGTTGAAATGGCATGGTCAATTTAATTTGTACACATGCTTACTTACCAGGGGAGAAATACTTTCTGTTATATATTTAACTGATTTTTGTTTGCATTTTTATTAGTCTCTCCTTTAGAAGCATGCACCAAAGAATTACATCCTTGCTCTTCATTCTGAATGCCTCTGCTATACTGTTTTCCATGCCTTTCTTTTGTCTACATCAGGAACTGCAATACCATAGTTCAGAGCCTGATGTAATGTGAGCCAAGAATTTTTTTTTTTCATTTTTAGAGCATTAAGAATACAAATAAGAATCAATATATATGCACACGTGTGTGTATGTATGTACCTATATGCAAATAAGGAGCAAAATAGAAGACATAAATAGGAAGCTGGGAGAGGTTCTGATGGTTTTCCAAATTACCTATTCTCTTACTTTAATATATACTTTAACATATATACTAATTTATTTCATTTATACTGCTAGTTTTTAGCTCACTGAAGAAAAAGATTTGTACTATTATCTGTTTCTCCTTTGTAAGAAACAATCTTTTTTGTTGATATTTTGTATTCTGAGTAACTACTTTGAATATAAAAATACAGTGTATTAACTATTGCTATTCTCTTTATTATTTTTCTGTGAAATTTTATTATTTCATAAAAAATATTCAACAGACTTCTATAATACCTACAATTATTTGCTCTCTAGCCCTTCATATTAAGTTTGCTGAACTCTGATTATCTTCTTTGAAGTTTCTCTAGTTTCTTTTCTTGCAATTCTGTTTCTGCTTTCTCCATGTTGCCCTTTCTTTTGTTAGCTCTCTACCACTAACTCTAGTAAAGATGCTAATTTTTGTTATATCTATAGGTTCTAGAGGAGCTTTCTTATGTTTTCATCAGTTCATATAGGGGTCACTGCATCTCAACATCTCTTTTTAAATGCATTTAGTGCAGGTTTTACAGGGTCTCACTACACAGATGGGACTCACAGTGAGCCTCCTGTTTTCAGCTTCCCAAGAGCTGGCATTATAGGTGTGCACCGCCACACCCCGTCTCAGTCACCTTCTCAGTGTGCCCTGGGGGCAGGGCCAGCACCACACACTGGGGATTGAACCCCAGTCACTGCACTCTGCCTAGGCAGGCACTTAGTCCACTGAGCTATCTGGCTGGCCTGCAAGATCTCCTCTTTTATGAGTTTAGCTCCAGATTTACAAAGAACATTCATTTTTCTTGATTTCCTGAAATGTGCTCCTGTGAGCGCTCTACTTTACCTCACTGGACAGTAGTTTTGCATAAGATTCCATGGTGTCCTGCTACTTGTATATTCCTTCCTGATGCATCAGAGTGATTATTACCATTTTAGAGCAGATGATATAAAAATTAAGAATAATATGAATGTTAGCTTTCTGTCAGTATGATAAGATACTTGAAAGAATCAACTAAAAAGGAGAAAGGTTTGCTTTGGCTCATGAGTCCAGAGATGTCAGTCTATGACCACTTGGCCTGTGACTTTGAGCCTGAAGTGACACAGTACATCACTGCGGGGGTGCACAGCCATGGACATCTATTTGATGGCTGGGATACAAAGACAGAGGAAGGAGCCATGGTCCAAATATTTTCCTCTCAGACACACCTCCAATGACTTAACTTCCTTTTACCAGGCCCTACCTCTTCTAATAATTCCAGTAGCACCACCAGTTGACAAGAAGTCTCTGAACACATGAGTCTGGGGTGACATTCCAGACCCAAACTATAGCAGATAAAGTCCCTTGGTGGTGCACAAAGCTTGAGATCTTTCTTATTCAGATTTTACAGGAAAACCTGCCAACTGCTGCACAGGAATATATTATCCCTATGTATCCACAGGGAATTGATCCCAACACCCCACAAAGATAGCAATCTGTCAATGCGCATGCCCTCGTATAGAAAAGTGTAGCAACTGCAAATATCCCACATATATCTTCCTGTGTACTTTAAATTATCTCTAGATGACTTATAATACCATAAATGTCATGTAAATAGTTGTTATACTACAATGTTTAGGAAATAAAAGAGAAAAAATTCCCATGTCTGTACATGTTCAGTACAGAGGCAGATTGGGAGAATTTTTTTTTAAGAAGTATTTTTGACTTGCAGGTAGCTGTCAAAAACCATAGGTATGGAACCAGTGCATCTGCAGGGCCAACTGTCTCTCTACACAGAGAGCATCTTCTCGTACTTCATACCTGGCTCTCAAATGCTGCAGTCCACCCTAAATCTGCAACCCCGAACTCCCCTTGGCAGCCTGCCCCTCTAAATGGCTACTGACTAAGTTTTATTTACTGGGCCTATATTTCAGAAGCATCCACCCTACTTATAATTTCTGGCAACTTATTTTTGTACGCTGCTGTTTCCATAAGAAGGAATGGATAGCCGTGGATGCAGGGCACAACTGCATTAGAGGGAAGAAGTCAGGACGCTGGAGACCTTTCAGATTGATACCTATGGGGTGGAAGGCGGATGCCTCATTTTCAGATTACAACAAATTCTGGCTATCTATGTAGTCAGCAATGGGAGATACAAGTCTCCCTATTTTTTTCTTGATAAAGAGAAAAATTTCATTACCAAAAATAGTTGAAAAATCACCAAGTAAAGGTTCAAAAATAACAGACAAACATGATGATTGTTCATATATGATATGAATTTTCTTTTCTTTTTTTTTTTTTGTGGTATTAGGGATTGAACTTGGGACTTTGTGCTTACCAGGCAGGCACTTATGCCACTGAGCTATATTCCATCTGTTCATATATGAAGTAAAAAAAAACATAATTATTAATGTTACCTGTAATCATGAATTATTTTTCTGGCATTCTCAAGTTGTTCGTTTGTTAACAGAATATTTCTGGGATCAGTCACGGTGAAGAAATGACTGGCTCGTCCCATGAAAGTGCTTTGATCCCATCGGGGCTCCTTGATGTTAATGTTCAGTGGCAATTCCCCGGACATCTTTATGGACTGCAGAGAAGATCACGCTATTACTCATTGAAATGAAGATTTATATACTTTTCCTGATTATAAAGATAATTTTGCTGTACATGGCAAAAAGATCATAATATCAAAGCTATCAAACTTACTTTTTTTTTTTTTTTTTTTTTTTTTTTTTTGCAGAACTAGGGATTAGAACTAGGGCCCCTGCACTTGGCAGGGAAGCATTTATTCCACTGAACCATCTCCTGGCCTCAAAGCTATCAAACTTAGTACATCTTTTTTTTTTTTTTTTAATTTTAGGGAAGGGTCTACAGGGTGTTCAGGGCCTCACTACTAGATTGGGCTCGTAGTGATCTGCCTGTTTACAGCCTCCTAAGAGCTGGGATTACAGGTGCAAGCCACCATGCCCAGTCTCAATTGTCATCTCAGTGTGCCCTTGGGGTGGGGCCTGCAAGGCAGGCCCAGGGATCAAACACCCAGCCCCTGCACCTGCTTGCAGGCACTTTAATCCACTGAGCTATTTGGCCCACCCAACTCAGTGCATCTTAACAAAATTTCAACAGCTTTCCATATATTTCTACTGATTCCTTACTTGTGGGAATCTTAAAAGCACTCCAGAGAAAGTAGAAATATAAAGTTTTAAAATAACATTAACAGTAACAGGTTTGAGTCACTCATAGAAGAATGGATGCACCTGGAGACCACTGCACTAGGTGAAATCAAACACACAAGGCTAAATATTATGTTTTTTCTTATTGAGAAACCAAATATAAATATTTAAAGAGTACAATAAAAGATGCATGACAGGAATCAGGGGCTAGACCTTGTGGAGACAGGGTTAGACAGGAAGCGGGGAGGTAAAAGGAATCAAGGTACAATACTCTTATCAATTCCTCATGACGGATTTTTTTAAAATTATATATCACAACATAGACCAACAAAAGAAGAGGAGAAGAAAAACAGAAAAAAAAAAAGAAAGAAAATTAAAAAACAAAAGTAGAGTCTGCAAATTTGAACCCATTTTTCTGAGTGAAATAACCAATGGTAAACTACTGCTAAATTCAATTCTACTAAATTTGTTATTCTTACCACCAAAAAAGATGCAAAAAAGGTGCAAATATCAAAAAATAGGGGCCAGGGAGATAGCTCAGTAGAACAAGCACCTGCCTGGCAAGCTCATATATTTCAAAAAAGATTCAGACCCGCATTCATTCAGTCTTGTCTGGCATATAACCACTAATCAAAATTATAAATTATGTCCTTTGATTTACTAGCAACATAGGGGAAAAACACTCAGACAGCCTCACAAATAGAAAGAACACTATAGCATATAATTTTCCTCATAAAATGTCTATCTTCTGTGTCATAGCGATTACTTTATTCTGATAATTTCTTTCTCTAAGTAATACGTATTTATTTTAGAACTGCATTATAGTGCTGTAACACATGCTTGTTATAGTATTTTGAAACATCAAGCTTATAATAGAAAATAAGGAATAAAGCAGCAAAATCTCACACAATTTAAGCCCTCTGAAGTAACCATTTTTAATGTTGCCATGTATTTCCTTGCAAACATTTTGATACATGCTATCATATAATTTAAAAACAACTTGATGTTACAATCTACTTCAGTATCTTCTTTGTACTTATTTTATGTATAACCTTTGTGGCATTAAATGCTCATTTTGGATATATAATGAAATTTTTTTTTTTATCTTCTTGAGACAGGGTCTCACTGTGCAGTTCAGGCTGGCCTTGAGCTCACTTTGTAACCCAGGCTGGTCTCAAACTTGCAAGGATTCTCCTGCCTCAGCCTCCCGAGGGCTGGGATTATGCCCGGCTCCTATAATGAAATCTTATTCTTCATGTTATTTTATTTCTGCGCCAGTATACATAATGTTGTATCTTTGTCTACAAATCTTTTTCATCATAGCTGATACTTTCCTTGGACCAGATCTCTCTGCAGGATGTCACCGTATCACAGGACCTAATCACCATGAAGCATGCAAACTACTGCTTTCTTGGCCTGTTCCCCTTGCTTGCATTTTTAATACCAGTTCTAATCATAGCTTTCTTTTCCAGGTCAATTTTCATTAAATTACTCCTCTAGTGCTTTACAAGTTCTTAGGTCTGTTAAGATGTCAGCTACAATGTGAGACACACTTCTAACAAATGTGTAGTCTGTCAACAGCTCCAATGAACACATAACATGGACCACCAGATTGAAGCTGAACATGTTGGTTAGGCCCAGAGATATGAGGACTCGAGTATGTGAAATAGTTAAATGGAAAGAGACAGGATGAAAATCAGCTCTGTACCCAATAAAGCATGTTGGGATAACAAACGCAGACAGAACCAGTTGCCAAGTTTAGGGGAAACCACATTTTCCACAAGGTCATGAAGCTTTAAAGCTTCATGTCAGCTCCCCTTTGTGTTCTCTATAATCACAGATGGTCAGAAACCTCACTGTTCGAAATGACAAGAAGAATAAGACATGCTCCTCCCAACACTGAAGGGGACACTGGCTTTTCTTGCCCAGGCGCAGAGTTTCAGATTAAGGAATTCTGGGGCACAACATTTTATAACCTATCTTAACTTCACACTGCCCAAAGAAACGGGAATGCAGGTCCACTTCACAGCCGAGTTTCTCAGCACAGCCCTCCTCTGAGCCTATGAAAACACTGCATCATTACACTGCCCCTGAACTCCACCCTGCCCATACTGCTACTGCAGACCGAGCTCCACTTGGGGTTCTTCTGCCACGTGAGGTCCCTCACTACAATAAATAGGACTTTGGTAGACAACAGGTTTGCCGCGATCATCTCTAGCTGACTTGGTTATGATGAGACACGCTGTCTCATCTCTTGCTGTGTCTAATGTGTGAATTAAGCTTTATCATAAGTATGCATTTGTTCTAATTTAAAGGTACTCCTTTACATTAGGAATATCTTTAAATCAGAACAAATCAAACCTGTGTATGTTAAGTCCAGGGATACAAGAAATATGGTGTAGCAGTCTTCCCTTTACCGGAAGAGAATGCCTTCCAAGGCAGACCCAGAACCACGGTACTGAACTCTACATACATTACACTTTTTCCCAAACATGCATACTTATGATAAAGCTTAATTCACACGTTAGACACAGCAAGAGATGAACAAGTATTAGTAAAGAGAGAAACTATATACTGTAATAAAAGTTATTTCAAAACATTTTCTTGTTTGCCTGTCTAATTTTTCATTTAACATTTTGGGCCACAGTCAACTATGGTTAACTGAAACCAGAGAACACAAAACCACAGCTAAGAATGGACAACCGTACACCAAAAGGGCTGTGTGGAAAAATGTCTAAATTTTGAATTAGAATACATCATTTGTATTATATATTTGCCTGACAAAAAGAAGGGGGAAGCCATTAGTTTATACACAGGAGAGTGATGGGTTTCAGACTTGTCCTCAGAGACTACCTCAGCGACTGCTAGGTAGCGGAGGAAAATTGTGCCACCTGAGCCTGCAGCTTATTTCAACTCCAGCGAACTGATCTGACCTGCTTTCCATGACTATGTTTTAGGATGATGATCATTTGGCAACACTACTTAGAAAACAGAGAAAAGTTGATAACCGCAAGAAGACAATCTGAAAATCAAGGAATAAATATTTTTCAACGTCTCAAGTAAAGTTTGGTTTCCATTTGATTAGTGCTTCTCAAGCTACGTGTGTCAGACATCCTGCTTGGGTTTTCCTTTTTGTTTGAGACAGTGGTCTCACTAATTGTTCAAGCTGATCTTACACCTGTGCTCCCCCAGCTCAGTCTCCCCAGGGTGCCGGGACTACAGCCTGGCCCACCATACTGAGCTTTTCCTGGTTTTCCAGATTTTCAAAGCCTATCATGAGCTCGGCATGGTAGTACATGCCTGCACATCTCAGCACTCTGGTAGGCTGCTACGTGAATATCAAATTCAAGGTGAGCCTTGGGAACTCTGTGACTTAGCAAGATCCTGTCTCAAAATAACAGCGGGCTGAGGAAACAGCCTGGTAGAAAGGCCATGTATTCAATCCCTAGTACCACAAAAAGCAAAAATAAACCAGGAGTCAATATTTTCATAAAAATCTAATAAAGGGGGCCTGCCCCATAGCTCAGTTCTTTAAGTGGCTGCTTCAACAAAGCAGTCAGGCTCAGGTTGCTGTGGTTTGATCCCCACAACTCAAGCCAGCCAAGCCTGCCCTGAGGGCATTTGGAGCAAAAAAAAAAAAAAAAAAAAAAAAAAACCTTTTGCCTTTGGGGGAAAAAAAACAAAAAAAACTTTTTTTCAGAGAAATTAAGTTAAAAAATTAAATATAGAATTAAGGTCTGAAGTTTATATTAAATTCAGTAGATATTAAATGATTCTGCCGAACTGTTATAAATATTGTTAGTACTTATTTTTAATGATTTAATCACAGTATAGACTGGTTACAAGCAGTTCATATACTGGTCCAACAGGGTTATGTTTTGAAGTTACAATAAGTATACAGCTCAAAATTTGCTTCCTCTGGCAGGGGTAGTGGTGCATTCCTGTCATCCCAGCACTCAGGGTGCTGAGGCAGGAGGGTCACTGTAAGTTCAAGGCCAGCCTGGGCTACAAAGCAAATTCAAGGCCAGCCTGAACTGCATAGTGAGACCCTGTCTCAAAAATGCCAGAAGAAAAAGTTTCTTCTTTTTTCTTTTTCTGTCTCTTAGGGAAGGGTCTACAGGGTGTTCAGGGTCGTACTATTAGATAGGACTCATAGTGATCCGCCTGTTTACAGCCTCCCAAGTGCTGGGATTACAGGCACACACCACCATGCCCAGTCTCAATCAGTCTCAGGGTGCCCCAGGGGCGGGGCTGGCATGGCAGGCCTGGGGACTGAACCACCAGCCCCTGCGCCTGTTTGTAGGTGCTTTAATCCACTGAGCTATTTAGCGAGCCCTAGTTTCTGCCTTAAGTATCATGAAATGAACACTAACGGGTAAGACAATTTCATATATCTTTCTTCTAATTTTTTTTCCTT